AACTGACTGAGCCACCCAGGCACCCTGATCACCGCAGTAAGATTTGTTAAAATCTATCACCTCAAATAGTTACAATTTTTTCTTATGATGACAACTTTTTTTAAAAGATCTTATTTTTTTCATTTAGTTGACAGAGAGACAGCGAGAGAGGGAACACAAGCAGGGGGAGTGGGAGAGGGAGAAGCAGGCTTCCTGCTGAACAGGGAGCCTGATGTGAGTCTCAACCCCAGGACCCTGGGATCATGACCTGAGCCGAAGGCAGACGATTAATGACTGAGTCACCCAGGTGCCCCATTATGATGAGAACATTTTTAAGACCTAATCTCTTGACAACTTTCAAATACATAGTACAGTATTATTAACTAGAATCACTATGCTGTACATTAGACCTCCAGAGCTTATTTATCTTATAACTGGAAGTTTGTATTTTGATCCCCTTTACCCATTCCCCAGCCCCCCACCTCTGGCAACCACCAATTTGTTCTCTGTTTCTATGAGTTTGCCTTTTTTTTTTTTTTTTTAAGAATCCACATATCAGTGAGATCATACAGTACTGGCCTTTCTCTGTCTGACTTACTTCACCTAGCATATTGTCCTCAGGGGCCATCCATGTTATTGTAAATGGCAGGATTTCCCTCTTTTTATGGCTGATCCCAAGTACTTCATAGGTGCCTGCTCATTTAATCCTCACTAGGCCCCCCTAGAAGAAAACCCGGTCGCCCATGAGACCACTCGGGCCCAGACAAAGCAGATAACAGACTTGGGTTGTCCGGCTGCCTTGGGGCACAGCTGGCCAGAGGCTAAAAAGCCCATAAGGACAGCCACAGGAACACTAATGTGATCATGAGGCCCCAGCCCCTCCCGGGTGCCCTTCTCTGTGCTCACAGCCCCAGGCCTGCACAGTGTCATCCTGCCTCCTGATGGGACACTCACTGCAGCTCCTCCTCTCAGAAAACCTTCCCTTTACCCTCAGCCCTGAGGGATTCATTGCCCGGGACTCCCAGTCTGGGGCTGGCAGACACGGGGTGTACCTGAGGCCCCGTGACTAGGGCTCGAGGAGGGGGATAAAGAGGCTCTGGGGACAAGTGAAGAAGGAGACGCCTGGTGGCTTGCAAGTGGTGATTTGGGAACAGATACGTTAAAGGGCCCAGAAGTCCTAGTCCAGACTTTTCCACCATTCACACTCTGCTGCTCATTCCCCACCCCAGATGCCCACAGGAAACTGTCACTCTCCATGGCTGCCTCCTGCTCACCCTCAACAACGGAGGCCATTTTAAGGCGAGAGGGGTGGACAGGGCTGTGGATGGTTCTACACTGGTTACAGAGCTTTGTGAGAGGAATCCCACATGTGTGTCGAGGGTCATAATCTCCTAAATGATGTGGATACATAAGCCCTGAGTTATATAGATTAAACCACAAATATAAGACACCACATTCTGTGTTTGTGTGTGTGTGTGTGTGTGCGTGCACGCACGGGCACACGCACACACACACCAACATGTATGGGAAGGAGAGAGAGAGAGAGAGAGTCAGAGACACAAAGGGAGCCACGGCGCCAAATAGCCTCTCTGTAGGTCCAATACTGACAGAGGTCTGGCCGCTAGCGGACCCTAAAAGCCATCCTACAGTTCTAGATCCATAAAGGATCCACTTTAAGGAGGCCTCCCCCGACCCTTCCAGGGGTCATGGTTGTTAACTTGAGGCAGTGATTAAATGCACGGAGGATGGACAAAGCCTGATTTCTAACCCTGACTCCTCCACTACTCCCCATCTGCGTGCCGTTGGGCAAATCCGAGAACCTTGCTAAGCCTCAGACTCTCACTTGGAAAATGTGGCTGGGGGCAGCTCTAATCCACACAAAGCTCAGGATAAATGGTAACTGTAATTATCAACACTGACAGTAGCGTTACTAGTATTCCTAGGGGTCCTCGACTGTTGCTGCACTTTTCTCCTTTGTGAGACAGGGACCTTGCTACTCTCTGAGCCAAATCTCTTCACCTCTGTGGACCAATCTGGGGACAGTGACAGCCACCGTAAGGGTTACTAGAGGGAAAGGAGGTGTGGTACACAGAACACTAACCACCCCCCCAAAGATGCTCACATCCTAATCCCCAGAGCCGGTGAAGACGTCATGTCACATGGCCAAAGGGACTTTGCAGGTGGGATTAAATAAATCATCAAAGTGGGGGAAATTATCCTGGATTATTTGGGGGTCCCCAGTGTAATCACAAGAGTCCTTTTAAGTGAAAGAAGGAGGCAAGAGAGTCCGTGTCCATATGACCATCATTGGGGTCATAACAAAATTTTAATAAATTTAAAACAACTGAAAAAAGGCATAGTATGTTCTCTAGCCATAACAGAGCTAAACTAGAAATTGATGACAGAAAAATAACAGACTACTCCTCAAATGTTTGACAGTTAAAGACACGTACACATAACCTACAGGCACATGAAAGTAAGTTGCTAAGCAAATAAGAAAATTTTGGGGGGGCACCTGGGTGGCTCAGTTGGTTAAGTGTCTGCCTTCGGCTCAGGTCACGATCCCAGGGTCCTGGGATTGAGCCCTGCCTCGGGCTCCCTGCTTAATGGAGAGCCTGCTTCTCCCTCTGCCCCCCACCCCAAGCTTGCTTGCTCTCTCTCGCTCTCTCTCTCTCTCTCTCTCAGATAAAGAAAATCTTATCTTTTAAAAAAGATTTTAAAACTGGGGGAAGGGCATCTGAGTGGCTTAGTCGGTTGGGCGTCTGCCTTTGGCTCGGGTCATGATCGCAGGGTCCTGGGATCAAGCCCCAAATTGGGCTCCCTGATCAGTGGGGAGCCTATTTCCTCCTCTCCCTCTGCCTGCCACTGTGCCTACTTGTGCTCTCTGTATCTCTGTCAAATAAATCAATAAAATCTTTTTTAAAAAGCTGGGGGAAACTTAGCAAGGTCTCTTCTTTCAGATTCTTCTCAGCATCCTTGTGTCTTCAGAGAGAAGGATGCTTTTTTCCTCTGAGTATTGGGGGGGCACCTCTCACATAAGAGTCTCATGATCTGTTTCAGGGGAAAAAGGCAAGGGGAAGGTCGGAGTGACCTTCCTGCTTCTGCTGTTTTCTCACACTCCTTCACCTTAAAATATTCAGTATGCCAAGGTGCTGTGTTTTAGAGTAGCATGTCCTGATCCCCCTCGAGGCCACCAATCAATGATCTAAGCTACCATATTATGAAATCAGAGACATATAATCAAACCTAAAGCAAGCTAAAGGAAGGAAACTATAAAAATAAGAAAATAAATCAAGAAAAATTAAAAAACAGAATAACAATAGAAAAAAAATCAATGAAGCCAAAAGCTACTTCCTTGGAAAGATCAATAAAATTGTCCAAACTCTAGCCAGACTGACCAAAGACACAAATACAAGCAAAGCACAAAGAGAAGACAAACTACCAATTACAAATGAAAGAGACATAGAGAGGGAAATGGGGGGCTTAATGTTTAATGGGTACAGGGTTTCAGTTTTACAAAATGAAGAGAGTTCTTGGGGCCCCTGGGTGGCTCAGTCGGTTAAGCATCTGCCTTCAGCTCAGGTCATGATCCTGGGGTCCTGAGATCAAGTTCCCCACTGTGCTCCCTGCTCAGCGGGGAGTCTACTTCTCCCTCTTCCATTCCCCCTGCTTGTGTTCCCTCTCTAGAGGTGTCTCTCTGTCAAATAAATAAATAAATAAATAAGATCTTATAAAAAGAGAGTCCTGGAGATGGATGGTGATGGTTCATAGCAATGTAAATGTACTTAATGCCACAGAACTATACACCTAAAAATTGTTAGAGTGGTAAAATTTATGCCATATATATATATATATATATTTCACCACACTTTTTAAATACATAAGTAATTTTAAAAACACAGAAGTGCCCAAAGAAGACTGTTGCAATGAAGGAGGAGGCCCTTTCTTTACCCACAGCTACTGCAAATATTCATCCTTCAAGTCCTGGAATTCCAGGTGCCCATGGCTCTTGGAGGAGCTGGTACCTCTTTTTGGAATTGATCCCAGGATTCTGCCTCTTGATGCCCAGCAGACACATCTAGCAGTCTCTGGTTCTCCTGAGGTCTTTGTCCTGGTGACATAGAGTAATTTGTGCAGTTATTTACCTTGCCTGGGACTATGATCCCAGCAGCTTAGATAAGTATCTCTTCTCCAAGGTGCCCAGGCTGGGGGAGCTGACCCCTCTTCAGGATGACTTCTGACCCAGGAGCACAGCTCCTGATAAAGGCCTGGGACCCAAAGCCTGAGCAACAAAAAGAGATTTCCCAACACCTTTAATGGGCAGACTGCTGTCTAAACAGACCAAGCAGATAATCTGGGATTTATCTTTTCCTGTAAGAAAAAAAAAATCTCCCCACCTTTCGCATCGCCTGCCATTTCTGTTTTCCCTTTGAGTGCCCCTTCACCCAAATCTCTGAATCAAAGACAGTCATCAAGTGACTTGGGGGAAAACAGCAGATATCAGCCAGTTTTTCCTGGCTTTCAGCTTGCCCCGAGTTTGAGTTTCGCTTAGTTCAAAGAAAACACTCCAGCTAAAGTCAATACACCCAAAGAATTCCTGCTCCCCATGAGCCACCTTTTGTCCTTTTCAGAAACACTTAGGTTATTGTCAAGGCTTAGGAACACCGGGGTTTGTAAGGAAAACACACAAGGCCAGTGCTCCTTAAACCCTTCCACTGGGAAAGGAAAGAGGTTTCCAATATTTTGTAGAAAGTTCCCATAATATTGGTATCAGAACCCAACAGGGGAACTGAATCAGGTAAGCTATATGTTTATATTTTAAGCATTCATGAATTAAGAAAAGGTAGAAAAGTAGATTCTTTTTGCTTTGTACCTTTTAAAAGTTGTTACTGGGGGCACCTTGGTGCCTCATTTGGTTGGGTATCTGTCTTAAGCTCAGGTCATGATCCCAGGGCCCTAGGATCGAGTCCCCACGTGGGGCTTCCTGCTCAATGGTGACCTGCTTCTCCCTCTCTCTCTGCCTGCCCCTGCCCTGCTTATGTTCTCTCTCTGTGTGTCAAATAAATAAAATCCTTAAAAAAATTGTTACTGAAGTAAAGAAAAGTAGATTTTTCTTTTTCTTTTTTTTTTATTTTATTTTTTTTTAAGATTTTATTTATTTATTTATTTGACAGAGAGAGGTCACAAGTAGACGGAGAGGCAGGCAGAGAGAGAGAGAGAGGGAAGCAGGTTCCCTGCTGAGCAGAGAACCCGATGCGGGACTCGATTCCAGGACCCTGAGATCATAACCTGAGCCGAAGGCAGCGGCTTAACCCACTGAGCCACCCAGGCGCCCCTATTTTTCTTTTTTTAAAAAAACATTTTATTTATTCATTTGACAGAAAGAAACACAGCGAGAGAGGGAACACAGCAAGGAGAGTGGGAGAGGGAAAAACAGGCTCTCCATGGAGCAGGGAGCCCGATGCAGGGCTTGATTCCAAGACCCTGGGATCATGACCCAAGCCGAAGGCAGACGCCTAACGACCGAGCCACCCAGGCGCCGCAGAACATGTGACTCTTGATCTCAGGGTTGTAAGTTCAAGACCCAGGTTGGGTATAGAGATGACTTAAAAAATAAAATAAAACCTTTTCAAAAAATAAAAAAATAAAGTCTTAGTAAAAGTAATCTAGGATTAAATTAATAAACCTTCCAGACACTGAGAACAGAGAAAATAGCAAAAGAAAATTATTTTAAAAAAAGGCAAGAATGATCCTTTAAAAATGAAGGGCATGAGTATCCAACACAAATGAATAAAAACACATACAAAGGTATATTACCGTAAAATTTCAGAAAATAAACAAAACCCTAAACAAAAAGATCACAAACAACCCAACAAAACATGTACAGGAAATCTGAACACACAAGAATATACATGGATGAAAATTAATGCATATAGGCTCAACGGGTTGAGCAAATTAAAACTCCAAGAAGTTACCATTACACAGCCATTTAGAATGGCTAAATTTAAAAAGACTGACCCCCAAAAGTGTTGGGGGATGTGGAACCAACTAGAACCCTCATGCACTGCTGGTGGGAATGCCAATTATACAGTCACTTTGAAAACTATTTTGGCAGTTTGACACTAATGCTGTTTAAAAAAAAAAAAAAGGAGCTAGGGGTGCCTGAAGCCTGCTTCTCCCTCTCCCACTCCCCATTTTTGTTCCCTCTCTCGCTGTGTCTCTGTCAAATAAATAAATAAATAAAATCTTTAAAAAGAAGCTAAATAAATCAACTCCAGATGAATTAAAGAAAAAGAACTTATGGGCCAAGAGGAGCAAGGAAAATTGTTTATGGTGAATGTGATTTAACACAGAAGACAATATTAAAAGCAAAAAGAGGAGCGCCTGGATGGCTCAGTGGGTTAAAGCCTCTGCCTTCGGTTCAGGTCGTGATCCCAGGGTCCTGGGATTGAGCCCCGCGTCTGGCTCTCTGCTCAGCAGGGAGCCTGCTTCCTCTTTTCTCTCTCTCTGCCTGCCTCTCTGCCAACTTGTGGTCTCTGTCTGTCAAATAAATAAATAAAATCTTTAACAACAACAAAAAAAAAAGCAAAAAGAGGAGAAGTACACAGGGTTTCAAAGAGTCCAGGGTTGGAAAGTTGCTGTACCTTGAATAAGAGAGTTATCTTCTCTTATCCACAATTAACTCATCTACAGAATGAGAATAATGGAGCAGTAAGATTTTTTTTAATGGAAGAGGAATAATAACAGAGATTGAAATGTATTTATAGTGAAACAGCACCTAGAGCATGCACATATTCCCCTAAGGGAAGCCATTCCTGACCCCCTGGGTTACAGGGCTCTCTCTCCTGTGTTCTGAGCGCCCTCTGGCTCCCTGCATGGCTGTCATCAAATTTGCTCCGTCATTATATTGTGGATGGTTCTCTGATCATTAACCATGAGTTGTTTGAGAACTTATCCCGTGTGAATCATTCCTATGTCCTCAGAGCCTGCCTAGCCCAGAACAAGGAGCCTGATTCCCAGCAAGCGCTCAAAGTTTTTTTGGGGGGGTGGTGGTGTTTATTTTTAAATTTATTTGACACAGAGAGAGAGAGCACAAGCAGGGGGTATGGCAGGCAGAGGGAGAGGGAGAAGCAGGCTCCCCGCTGAGCAGAGAGCCCAGTGGGGCTCGATCCCAGGACCCTAGGATCATGACCTGAGCAGACATTTAACTGACTGAGCCACCCAGACATCCCTGGTTTTGGTTTTGACTTGGTTTTGGTTTTTGTTTGAGTGATAAGGATGACACATGCTACTCACCTCATCAAGTATAGCCAGTGATGGGGTTCAGGACACATTACCCCAAAACATGGTACCTTGGCCCATTGCATACTTTAGCTACAGGAATTCAAGAAACTGAAGGGGCAGGCAGGATTTTCTAACCTTTTCCTGAAACAGGTCTTAAGACCCTCATGCGAAAGGTGCCCTTTTTCACAGGGAAGGAGTATCCTTGGGCACCTGGGTGGCTCAGATGGTTAAGGGACTGCCTTCAGCCCAGGTCATGATCCTGGGGTCCTGGGATCGAGTCCCACATCAAGCTTCCCCTGCTCTGTGGGGAACCTGCTTCTCTCTCTCCCTCAGCCTGCCACACACCCTGCTTGTGCACGCACGCTCCCACATTCTCTTTCTCTCTCTCTCTCTTTCTCTCGGTCAAATAAACAAAAATCTTAAGAAAAAAAAGAAAAGGGAGCATCCTTCTCTCCAAAAACACTAAAAGGGATCCAAGTGAAAGGACTCTGGTGTTTCCCCTAATTTACTACACTAGGTTCATAACTTTTCTTGTCCTATCACGTTTTCCCATGACTTTCCACTCTTCATCAAATCTAGCATAAAAATGCTCAGGTTTAACCACCTCCTCAGGTCATGTAAAACTTATTAAATAATTTTTCTCTTCAAAGTCTGTCTTTTGTTCCTGCTACTTGATCAGATCAGCCCTCATCTAAGGGATGCATCATCAGCTCATTCACTGAAGTCTTCCCATATACAAAAGGGTAGATAACCAAACCAGACTCTTTAGTAAATGTCTTTTGGATCAATGCAACAGTGTGGTCTGATTATCTTAGTTTTTTTTTCAAGGATTTTATTTATTTGACAGAGAGAGATCACAAGTAGACAGAGAGGCAGGCAGAGAGAGAGAGAGGGAAGCAGGCTCCCTGCTGAGCAGAGAGCCCGACTCGGGGCTCGATCCCAGGACCCTGAGATCATGACCTGAGCCAAAGGCAGCAGCTTAACCCACTGAGCCACCCAGGCGCCCCTTATCTTAGTTTTTAAGTGTAAGACCAGTCTGCTTATTTTACTATTAAGTACTGAGGTACATGTCACCCAGCCTATCAGCAGGATCACATATACAAACCCAGACCAGTGGACATGGGAATCCAGTGACCTCTCTCAGTCTCCTCTCCTGCCCTGGTTTTCCTCCTGCTTCCTGGCCACCCCACTCACTATTTTTTTCCTGGATCCCTTCCCTGTCTTTCTCCTTTGCACTTCAACTGCTTTTCTGTTTGTCTGACCCACCAATGTGATGGTCCCCAGAGCAAACAACGTATCTGTATATTCTCTCATTCATCACAGCAATCACTGTAATTCCTATTTTACAAATGAGGAAACACAGGGCCCCTGGGTAGCTCAGTTGGTTAAGCATCTGCCTTCAGCTCAGGTCATGATCACAGGGTTCTGGAATCGAGCCTCGAACTGGGCTCCCTACTCAGTGGGGAGTCTGCTTCTCCCTCTCCATTTGCCTCTCTCCTAGCTCATGCTCTCTTGCTCTCTCCCAAATAAAATCTTTTTAAAAGATGAGGGAACAGACCTAATGCATGCCCAAAGGATTTAAATGCCTTTCACACCATCACAGTGTCAGAGCCAGGACCAAAATCCATGCCTAGTTCATGGCATAGCCCATAAGGACATAGAGGAGGTAGGATCCAGGGCTGTTTTGCCTCAGCCAGTCCCCCTGGTTCCTTTTCCTTTTCTTCTTCTGAGGCCCTAATTTTTTCAACCACCTTTACAACCGGGTGAACTTTCACCTATTTTGTGGCAAATGGGGATCCCCTACATTTATTCTTTGTATCTGAACCTTGGAATTTCAGTCCTTTGTGGTCAGGAAACATTATTAAACCTCTGTGAGAGGGAGAATTAATCATTGCTTTATGTAATACCCTGTCATTCCCTAAGCAAGGTAGATTCTAAGTAGGGTGTTCTTTCAGAATGGTTTTAGGCTTCTTTTTAGAGCTTGTTTTGTGGGGGAGTAAAGCTACAAATGGGGTCTCAGAGCTGTAACTTGCTGTCATTGTGTATAGAAATAGGGGTGTAAGGTTGAAATCAGGCAGTTAAGGAAGATTCTGAGCAAGAACTATTAGGCAAATGGGAGATTTTGTTGGAAGAAATTTGTGGCTGCTCCATCTCTGAATAATTTTAAAGGACAGGAGATTTTACCATAAGGCTTGGGGCACAAGTTCTTTTCTCTGTCTCACCATAAACAATTGTCTCAAATGGCTTTAGTACTCTGTAGCTCTATTTTTCTGTAGCACAAGATCATGATGTGATTTTTAATTTTTTTTTTACCCATGATTTCATCTGGGGCACCACATGAGGTCTGTTTGGCAATTAGGAAACCCTTCAAGATAAGAACAAAGCTTTTTACACCAAATTATACACACACACACACACACACACACACACACAATATTCACATAAATGGGACACCTGGGTGACTCAGTCGGTTAAGCATCTGCCTTTAGCTCAGGTCATGATCCTGGGGTTCTAGGATCAAGCCCTGCATCGGGCTCTCTGCTCAGCAGGGAGTCTCCTTCTCCCTCTCCCTCTACTGCTCCCCCAGCTTGTACTCTCTCTCAAATAATAGAATCTTTTAAAAATACTTACATAAATACTAGATTGTAACTAAAATCATCATATATGCCATCAGTTCTTCCTTATTCACTTTCAGAAGCTTTTACTGAGGAAAGATCAAGGGCTTTGAATTTAGAACTTCAATGAATCCCCAAATCTACTTCTTACTGAAGGCAGAGATGGCCAATCTTGGGACAATTCTGACTTCCCTTCTTCATAAGGATTTGATGACCTTATATATAATAAAGAACCCAGTACAGAGAAGTGACTAACAGATGATACCCTGTAACAGATGATATGGCCATACCACCCTGAACGCGCCCAATCTCGTCTGATCTTGAAAGCTAAGCAGGGTCGGGCCTGGTTAGTACTTGGATGGGAGATGATACCCTATAAATATGAGTTATTATTTGTTATTAAAGAACTCAATAAATAGAGCTATCTTATCTGTACACAGCTCTGGGTTGGTCAGCCATTCCCTACCCTACAGCACAGATCAAAATTATCTAGGAAAGTTAAAAGCCAATTTTAACCTTCTGGGTGTAGATGAGTATTGGCATAGAAACAGGAGCAGGTAGCTTTCAGAGTGAGAGCATCATTATAGGTTATCCTGCAGGGAATCTGAAACCTCACAAAGTTTGAAGAGATGGGAACCTGGAGCTGCCTCTTAAGTCACTGCCCTTTATGTAGAGGTCCAGCTTTACAATAGAAGAGCAATCCAGAAACAGCTGAATATAAACCCTAGCCCTACATGACTCACAGCCTTGGAGCTCCAGAAAATAGAAAAATACATTTTACATCCCGATTCATTTTATGAAGCTAGCATAACCTTGATACCGAAGTCCAACAGAGTATATAAAGATTAAAAAATAGACTAGTGTCACTCGTGAGGAAATACATAAAAATCCTGAACAGATCATTAGGACATGGATCACTCATGACCAAGTTGTTTACCCTAGGAATCCGAAGTTGGCTTAAATGCAGAAACTTGCCAACGCAATTCACCACAGTAACAGAGGAAAAAAATCTTCGGATCATCTCAGTAAATGCCGTATATGTTTGCTGACATTCAACATATATTCAAGATGAATACTACCAGCAAATTAGGAATAGACTAGAATGACTTTACCCTGTTAAAATGGATCTACAAAAAATGTGCAGTGAATATTATGGTAAAATGTTTAAAATTTTCCATTTCTAATCATGGAGAACACAAGGATGTACCCAGTCACCAGTCCTATTCAGCCCTGTACTGGGTGGGTCTGCCTAATGGCATAAAAGGAGAGAAGAAAATAAAAGATGTAATGTTTAAAATGGCAGGAACAAAAAATTAAAGTAATATAAAATAGCAGGAACAAAACTGTTATTATTCAAAGATGATATGATTATATATTTTGAAAATGGAAAAAGATCTAAAGATAAACTTTTGGCATTAAGTCTAGTTAGCAAGGCTGCTGGATAGAAAAAGTAATATATAAAAATTATGTCTCGTTTTCTTTGGGCAAATACCCAGTAGCAGAATTACTGGATCATAAGGTAATCTACTTTTAACTTTTTTAGGAACCTCCATGCTATTTTCCACAGTGTTGAACCACTAAATTGTACACCTGAAACTCCTTTAACACTGTAGGTTAGCTACACTAGAATTTAACAATTACGCTTTAAAAATATAAAATTTCAGAAAAAGTACTATTTTCAATAACCTCAAATTCCTAGGAACAAATTTCACAAACGAGGTCTAAGACTTCTTTGGACAAAACTGCAGAACTTTAATGAGAGAATTGTAGCCACTTTTCAATACAAGAACTGCCCATGTGGCTTCAGCTTGTCTTCATTTAAACCTTCGGTTTCCATTCCCCTGTAAGAGAAACATTAGCATTACTTCAGAGAACTTTATTCAGACAACACTAAAAGGTACAGAAATGACACTTTCTGATGGCCAAAGAAAGGGGACGGTTTAAGGTCAGAATAGATTAAACCCAATGCATTTACTCAGGTAGCTTTGAATAGAAAGCAAAGATTTCTCATACTGTTAAGAATCCAATCAACCAAATGAGAAACCTAAGAAACAGAAGCTTTTAAAAAGTTATCAATTGGGGCGCCTGGGTGGCTCAGTGGGTTAAAGCCTCTGCCTTCAGCTCAGGTCATGATCCCAGGGTCCTGGGATTGCGCTCAGCATGGGGCTCTCTGCTCAGCGGGGAGCCTGCTTCCCTTCCTCTCTCTCTGCCTGCCTCTCTGCCTACTTATGATCTCTGTCAAATAAATAAAATCCTTAAAAAAATTTTTTAAAAAGTTACCCATTACATGTTTTGATTTGAGAAAACCTTCCGAATATAAGATACCAAAAACCGTAATGTCATGCTTGGAATTGCTTAAGTGAAATAAATAGAAAGGCTAGTATTGCAAATGTTTCAACTCTATTGTGTAAAGTGCAAAACTGTTCTTTAAGCTAGTTTAGCCCTTACATGGTTATCTTAAGTAGGGTGACCATCTGTCCCTGTTTTCACCCATATGCCCGTTGTAATTACAAACAGTGGCTCTATATACTTAGAAGTATGCCCGTTTGCACACATTACATGGTCACACCAGTTTTAAGTCATTACCACCAAGGTAACAACAAACTGCGAAAAAAAAAGTGGGGGGTGGAAGGGGAAGACAAGATGAGGAAGAAAAAGAAAAACTGGAAAGCCAAATGTATATTCAAGGTCTGTTACTGTCTTGTTCTTATTCTTTATTGTGTATACTTGGCTTTTGTCCATTTTCTTCAAAATTATGTAAATGAGTGAATCCTTTCCAACACAACCAGGGTACACAAACTCAGAACTGAAAAGGGTTTTCAAGGATCTGCTTTGAATCCCCTACTTTCCTAAGAGAAAAGATGGGTTCAGAGGGTGAGGGTTTTACCCAGAGTCACACAGATTATGTTAGAGCTGATACTAGGACCACAGCACATTTCATACAAACCGATGTGTGTTACAAATGCATCACAGATCTGTTAAAAGTGGATCTCTCTGCAGGTATCTGAAATTACTATAGCTCTTGGCTAAACAACTTATACTTGAAAGAAATGGTTTTCCTATCTTGCAATTTATATGGTTTTGACCCAATCTGTAAATCAGCCATTTGGGATGTGAGCTACACTGAACAATGATGTTACCTCGGTATTATTAAAAATATAATATTGTGGACAACAGACACCCTGTCATTTACATGCTTGATGGATAACATACCTGCCTCTGGCATCTTCAGGGGCTCTAGATTTGCAAGACCCCTCCCTTTGACAGCAGGACCATCTCCATGCTCACGCCCGGTCTTCTCACCAGCCTGTTCCTTTTGATTAGGTTCCGGGGCTGGCCCTTGAAAATAAAAAGGGGATCAATTTAAGAAGCAAAACATGAGTTTGTCAAATAAATAAAATCTTTAAAAATAAATAAAAAATTAAAAAGGCGCCTGGGTGGCTCAGTTGTTAAACATCTGCCTTCGGCTCATGTCATGATCCCAAGGTCCCGGGATTGAGTCCCCCCCAGCGGGAAGTCTGTTTCTCCCTCTCCCACTCCCCCTGCTTATGTTCCCTCTCGCTGTGTCACTCTCTTTCAAATAAATAAAATCTTTTAAAAAAATAAGTAAAACATGGGAGATGAATAAGGAAATAATATTCATTCCCTCAGTGTTATGAAACGTAAGCTTTAGGCTAGTGTGGTAATAAATGTGGTAAGAATTATAGAAGTGTTATTTCAGGTGTCCATTACCAGAAACTAGCAAGGCAGGGTTTTATTACCCTCTACCCTTTTCAAGACTGCCCTCAGGCAACTCAGGTGTCCCCTTTGTAACTTACCTATACTGTACTTGGGATTATACTTGCCAGTGACCTGAGTCTCTGACCAGATTGTGAGATCAAGGCTGAAAGCACGTTTCTCAGTACTTGGCATGTTACATGGCGAGAGCAGATGCCAATAAATGTTGAAGCGAAAGAAAAGTCTTAAAGCCCAAAAGTGATAAACATTCTGCAAACGAACTGTTTTGTCCTCATCAAAAATGTGCAGAAGCAAAAAAAAAAAAATGTGCAGAACCATTCCAGATTAAAAAAAGAAAAAACTAAATCTGGGGCACCCGGGGGGCTCAGTTAGTTAAGCATAACTCTCGATTTCTGCTGAGGTCATGATCTCAGGGTTGGGAGATTGAGACCCCCCCCCCCAAACACACACATGAATGCATCAGGCTCAGTGGGGAGTCTGCCTGAGATTCTTTCCCTCTGCACCTCCCCCACTCTCACTTGCTCCCTCTCAAATAAATCTTTAGAAAAAAATTAAATGCATCTGGACTCTGGATCAAAAAAATTGTATGAAGGAAATTATCAGGGCAACTGGGAAAATTTGATTTACACTGTATATTAAATGATAACATTCCCCTGCTGTCAAACTTCTGTACAGTTGTTAGCCCAGAGAATGACTTTTTCTTTGTTCCGAGGCTATACGTACACTAAAGTACTAGGGCAAAGGATCATAATAGTTGGACTTTATGTAAATGACTTAACAGTAGTAATAGTAAACATATCAGTAAGTGTGTGTATATATAAAGGGAGGGGAAGAGTACACGAAACCAAAGCGGTAAAAACTATTAATCACTGGTGAATCCAGGTGAAAATTTTATATAAACATAAGTATATATATATGATTGTACTATTCTTGTAACTTCCTCGTAAATTTGTCGTTTTGAACTACAAAGAATAAAAATATATGACATTGTACTTCAGAAGACAGTACTTCATTTTTACTTCATTTTTTTAGAGATTTTATTTATTTATTTGACAGACGGAGATCACAAGTAGGCAAAGAGGCAGACAGAGAGAGAGGAGGAAGCAGGCTCCCTGCTGAGCAGAGAGCCCGATGCGGGGCTCGATCCCAGGACCCTGGGATCATGACCTGAAGGCAGAGGCTTTAACCCACTGAGCCACCCAGGCGCCCCATTTTTACTTCATTTTTAATTGTGGTTTAAAAAAGCATAGCATAGGGGCGCCTGGGTGGCTCAGCCGAGTTAAGCCTCTGTCTTTGGCTCAGGGTCCTGGGATCGAGCCCCGCATTGGGCTCTCTGCTCAGAGGGAAGCCTGCTTCCCCCTTCTCCTCTGCCTGCCTCTCTGCCTACTTGTGATCTGTCAAATAAATAAAATCTTTTAAAAAATTAAAAATGGGGACGCCTGGGTGGCTTAGTTGGTTAAGCGGCTGCCTTCGGCTCAGGTCATGATCCCAGCGTCCTGGGATCGAGTCCTGCATTGGGCTCCTTGCTCCGCAGGGAGCCTGCTTCTCCCTCTGCCACTGTCTGCCTGTGCTCACACTCTCTCTCTCTCTCTCTGACAAATAAATAAATAAAATCTTAAAAACAAACAAACAAATTAAAAATGCATAGCATAAAATACTCCCATCTTAACCATTTTTTAAAAAAAGATTTTATTTGAGAGACAAATAAAATGTGGGACTCGATCCCAGCACCCTGGGATCAGGACCTGAGCCAAAGGCAGAGGCTTCAACCCACTGAGCCACCCAGGCGTCCCCATCTTAACCATTTTTAAGTGTACATGCAGTTCAGTGTAGGGGATTTTTTGCAATATTAGTAGCAACTAGGAATGGACTTTACCTATTTTTCCTGTATTATGAAACCTTTATTTTAAATGATAGCCTAAGGATAAACCATAACTCATGTATAATTCTGGTGTTTTGCCATAGTGTACTAAGAGCAGTGAGCAGCCACTCTACAAAGTCTGAAGTCTACACCATGGATAGGATTTAAATTATAATTAAAGTGTAATTTTCTGAAGAATTAGCCAAGTGTTTATTTGCAGACCTGTGACAAATCTTAGAGTAGTGACACCCACCCCCATTAGGGGTAAAAGAAAACTTAACTTTATTTTAACAAAGTTATACTTAGGTCCAAAGGCCCTGTCCTGTATGTAATGTTCCGTAAGTGTATCCTATGCACAACAAAGAACCAAAAGGAAGAGCAAAATTATTTGTGAGTAACAGTAAGTATACTATCTTACAGTTAGAACAAAGGTGGAAGAGTAGAAAGAAATGAATGGACATTGTGGTCAGTCGCTTTCTAGAAACATTTAACAGTGGCCTGAATGATGTAAAGATCTTGCTTCAAAATCCATATACTAGGAATACTATACATCTGGAAGAAATTATTTGTCTCATATTAATCTCAGGATAATTAACCTTTTTGTTCTTTTTTTATTTAGATTTTTATTTATTTATTTGAATACATGAACAAGTGAGAGAGAGAGAGCAGGATCAAGGGGAGAGGGGGAAGCAGACTCCCTGGTGAGCAGAGAGTCCAATGCGGGGCTCCATCCCAGGACCCTGAGATCATGACCTGAGCAAGTGGCAAATGCTTAACCAACTGAGCCACCCAGGGGTCCTTCTTCTGGTTTTCCTAACCACAGAAGAATGTAAACTCGTTTTAAGAGCCACTTTATTTTAAGATTTTATTTATTTATTTGACAGACAGAGATCACAAGTAGGCAGAAAGGCAAGCAGAGAGAGAAGGAAGCAGGCTCCCCGCCAAGCAGAGATCCTGATGTGGGGCTCAATCCCGGGACCCTTGGATCATGACCTGAGCCAAAGGCAGAGGCTTTAACCCACTGAGCCACCCAGGCGTCCCTTAAGAGCCACTTTAAAACAATAAATTTTGTTTTCAATAGCCAAATGGCTCTTTGATAACTACAATCCTTGAGCCCCAATTTTCTCATTTATAAAATGGGGGAAACGTACTATAGTGAGGAACTGCCTGCCCTAGGTTCCAAACTCCATTCTCTTCACTCTTCCAGCCAATTTCCAGGAAATGTTTGAGATTCCTATTGTTGTCTTCCCTTCTGTTATGAGGATATCACGATACACAAAGCACGCACACACACACTCACACACATCCCGCCCCCAAGAGGGTTTTCTTCTTCCCTTTCCCTTCACCTTGAATCCCAGATGCTCCTTCATCTTTTTTCTCTTGATCAGGTATAATATCCTGACGCTCAGTTGGTGGCTCCTTGCCATAACTTGGCTCAGCGTCAGGCTGCTGGGCCTAGGGGTATGCGTGTGTATATGTAAACAGATAAAAAGTTGTGTTGTTAATACACATCAATAATGTCAATACATAGAATACATAGATATATTTGATCCTAAGTAAATCTAAAGACGTTTCACTTCTGCGGAAGATGGCAGGACAGGAGGATTCTAAGCCCATTTTATCTCATATATACACATATAGATAATACCCACCTAAGTGTAAATAACCCAGAGAGAAGACCTGAAGACTGGCAGAACAGACTCTCCACAGCTAGTAAAGAGGTCACATCCACAAGGAATTTATAAAATTTTATAAAAATTTATTTATAAAATTTTAAATTATAAAAATTTATAAATTTATAAATTATAAAAAATATATTTATAAAATTTTATAAAAATTTATAAAATTTAATGGCCCCACCAACAACAAAAATCTAAAGACATTTCTCTAATACTATTCAATATACATATTCTTAATAAAATTACTCTTCCCACAAAGGCTACTCTGAAAGGCTTTGGAAACTATTTTCACGTATGTTGGGATGGATGTGTGCAGTCTGTTGTTAGTACGCATGAAAAACAAGTCATCAGGTTTATTTCCCAGGAACGGAACAGCATCCATCCAGAAAATCTCAGAATGTAACACTCCTGGATAAATGTTCCTTATCAGCATGGAAAATCCTTATCAGCATATCTATAGCAGTTCAACATGTCCACAAAAATAAATTTGTACTAATAAAAAAACAAATGTTCAAGTACTTACAACCATAGGCCCAACCAGCTGCAAAGATTTTTCATCATTTCGTCTTGCTCTAGGTCTGAATGTTGACCTCACTTGCCAATTCATAGTTCCCACTGAAAACAGAATACTGGGAATTGGAAAATGCACTTGAGAGGATAGTCATATTTGACCACTTTTGAGGCCACACAGCAAAATGTGCTTTCCGTTCCCCCCACCCCCACCCTCCCCACCCTGCCAAACATGGAGAATATTTTTAAAGTCAGTCTAATGGTAATTTAATTGTGCATGCTCTCCGATCACATGGAATCTAACGGTTTGCAAAGGTGACTGTTCAGGTCGTGGCCAGGTGGACAGGGAAATTAAATAAGTCACATAAGAAACACAATATATTTCGAAAGTGATATGGCTTCACAACTTCATTCACCATCCTGGAGGTATTTAAGAAAATACTACCAGATAATTAAGACTTGAGTAACTACTGCTCTCACACACTTATTTGCCAAGCCCTTTCTTTCCACATGCCCAATAAAGTTTTATTGGAATACTTAACCACATTCATTGTTGATGTATTGTCTACAATTATTTTCTTGAAAGATTTTATTTATTTGACAGAAATCGTAAGTAGGCAGAGAGGCAGGCAGAGAGAGAGGGGGTAGCAGCGAGCCTGATGTGGGGCTCGATCCCAGGACCCTGGGATCATGACCTGAGCTGAAAGCAGAGGCTTTAACCCACTAAGCCACAAAGGCACACCTGTCTACAATTATTTTTGCACTAGAATTTCAGAGCTAAGTGCCTATAATAAAGACTATATGGGGCACTCTCCTCTCTTGGTCCTGTTTGGTACACTACAAGTCTCAGGGATGCAACCCCACAAGGTTCCCCATTTCTAGGACCTTTCTTTACCATTGGACTTGCTACTTACCCAGGGCCCCTCAGACTCGGGGGACTCCCAAATCTGTGCCCTGTTGGCAGTTCCTTGTGCTTCCATGACCCCAATACCTCAAATAATGCCCCCAAGACTAGCTCCATCTTCATTGGACCCCCATCTGTTCCCACTCCAACTCCTCCCTTGTCCTGTCACCACATCAAGGGCCATGGTGGCTATGACACCTGTGAGAAGACAACCTCAACAACTTTCCTCCTCAGGGGCAGGAACCACACTGCCCTAATACCCCTCCCCCCACAAAAAAACCTACTGGCTCCATCCTCACACTTAAGCTCTTGGAAAAACTGATCTGCTGACCTTCCAAATGAGTCTCAGCAAGAGAAGAATCCAGACAGTAAGACAAGAACCACACAGCTCAACACTCACAATTCACTGCACATACTCCACACCTGTGGGTAAAGATGCAGCAGGGCTAGGCATGCACACTGCTCCCCCACCCCCAGAGCTAGGCCGCCTCTGGAGATTCCTAAATTTTCCTTCGGTCAGTAGTTCCTCTTGCCTCCATGACAGCCCCAATCCTTGTGAAAAGGATGATGATCTTGAACTTTTTCCTCAGAGGCCAGGAACCACACCATCGCTACTAGTCCAAAGCCAACTGGCTGACCCCTCACACTCAACACATAAATACCTAGGAAGACTGATCTGAGGACCCATCAACTGAGTCTCAGTAAAAAAGAATACAGGTAATAGGATGCAAGCCACACCTTTGCAACCAGAACACACTGTACTTGGCCCATGAAAATGGCCACTGAGAAACAGCACAACAGTGGGCATGGGCACTCAATCCAGCAACGCAAATGGGTGGGGTTTCCCATTCCTTCATTCAGGCACCGTGCCACATTACCAAATCTCCCATCTGCTGGCAGTTCCCGGCACCTTCACAACTCAAATACTTCAAATCATTCTCTCAGACACCAGATCTTCATTTCACCCCCACACCCACCATCCTCCCTGTCCCACACCCACCAAGAAAGACAATGGCCCTGGTTGCAGAGACACTGAGAGGAAAAAGGAGAACAACCTTGAGGACCTTCCTCTGTAGAGCCCAGAAAGCACACCGCGCCAACCCACCCAAAGCCTACATGCGCCTTCATTACATTTAAATTCCTGAAAGGAGTAATCCGAGAACTGACCAACTGAGTCTCAGACACCAAGAGGGAATCCAGACGGTAAGACACCACCTGCACAGCTCCGCACTCAGACGATGCCACACAAACCCCAAGCTAATGGCGGATTTGAAAGAACATGCCACTGCGCAGGCCCACTGCAACCCGCATGCGCAGGGTGGGGGTGGGGGCTTCCCCACTCCCTCATCCGGGCCCCACCGAGCATTCCTAATCTGCCCTCTGTTGGCAATCCTGTGGCCTCCAGGACACAGTTACCTCAAATCAAGCACCCTAGGTGCCCGATCTCCCTTCATCTCACCCCACCCCTACAACCCAGCACGAGAGAAAATGACCAGGGCTGTGGACACGGCCAGAGAAACGAGGACAATGTCAAGAACCTTCCTCTTTGGAGGCCACAAAATACGTCACACCCCTACCTACCCAAAGCCTGCTGGCTCCTTCTTCACACTTAAATTCCTGAGAGGTCAGATCTGGAGACCTACCAACTGAATCTCAGACACCAAGAAAGAATCTGGACGGTAAGACGCAAACTGCCCAGCTCTGCACCCCATGAAAATGGCTGAATAAAAAGCACATGGTAATGCGCAGGCGCACTGTAACCCGTGTGCTGTTTGGAGGTGGGGTCGGAAGGCTGGCTTCCCCACTCCTTCATCCCGGCCCTGTTGAGGATTCCTAATCCGCCCTCTGTCGGAAATTCCTGGCACCTCTGAAACCCAGATACCTCAAATCAGGCCCCCAAGACGCCGGATCTTCATCTCAACCCCACCCCCACCCGGAAATACAATGTCCCTGGCTACAGAGAAACTGAGAGGAAAAGGAGAACTACTTCACGGACCTTCGTTGTTGGAAGCCAGAAAGCACACCACCCTTACCCACCCAAAACCTGTTGGATCTTCTACTTCATACTTAAATTACTGGTAAGAGCGATCCGAGCACCTACCAATGGAGTCTCAGAAACCAAGAAAGAATCCAGATGGTAAGACGCGACCTGCACAGCTCCGCACTCAGACCACGCCACACGATCCCCACATTGATGGCGGATTATCTAAAAGAACATGCCACTGCACAAGGGCACTGCGACCCGTGTGTGCAGGGTGGGGGTGGGGGCTTTCCCACTCCCTCATCCAGGCCCCACTGAGCATTCCGAATCTGCCCTCTGCTAGCGATTCTTAGGGCCTCCAGGACAGATACCTCAAATCAAGCACCCAAGGAGCCCGATCTTCCTTTATCTCACCCCACTCCTACAACCCAGCATGAAAGACAATGACCAGGGCTGTGGAGACGGCCAGAGAAATGGAGGACAATTTCGTGAACCTTCCTCCTTTGAGACCACAAAATACACCACACCCCTACCCACCCAAAGCCTGCTGGCTCCTTAACACTTAAATTGAAAGGACTGATCCTGGAGACCTACCAACTGAATTTCAGACACCAAGAAAGAATCTGGATGGTAAGACGCCACCTGCACAGCTCCGCACTCAGACCACGCCACACAAACCACACGCTAATGGCCGATATAAAAAAACATGCTACGGCGCAGGCGCACTGCGGCCCACGTGCACAGGGTGGGGTGGGGGCTTTCCCGCTCCCTCATCCGGGCCCCACGAAGCATTACCTAATCTGCCTTCCATTGGCAATCCTTGCAGCCTCCAGGACACAGATAACCTCAAGTCAAGCCCCTGAGGTGCTGGATCTTCCTTCATCTCACCTCCACCCCTACAACCCAGCATAGAAGACAATGACCAGGGCTGTAGATACGGCCGGAGAAACGGAGGACAACCTCATGAACCTTCCTCCTTGGAAGCCACAAAATACACCACCCCTACCCACCCAAAACCCGCTGGCTCCTTCACACTTAAATTCTTGAGAAGACTGATCCCGGAGACCTACCAACTGAATCTCAGACACCAAGAAAGAATCCAGATGGCAAGACGCGACCTGCACAGCTCTGCACCCCATGAAAATGGCCGAATAAAAAGCACATGGTACTGGGCAGGCGCAGTCCATCCTATGTGTTGGGCGGGTGAAGGCTAGCTTCCCCACTCCCTCATCTGAGCCCAAGGATTTCTAATCTGCCCTCTGTTGGCAATTCCTAGCACCTCCAAGACCCAGATACTTCCAATCAGATCCCCAAGACACCGGATCTTCATTTTACCCCCACCATCCTCCCTGTACCACACCCACAAAGAAAGACAATAGCCCTGGATGCAGACACACCAAGAGGAAAAAAGGGAACAACCTCGAGGACCTTCCTCCGTAGAGGTCAGAAAAGTACACCACGCCTACCCACCCAAAAGAAAGCCTACAGGCTTTTTCTTCTCACTTAAATTCCTGAAAAGAAGTAATCCGAGAACTTACCAACTGAGTCTCAGACACCAAGAGGGAATTCAGACGGTAAGCCACGACCTGCACAGCTCCACATTCAGACCACGCCACATGAACCCCACGCCAACAGCGGATTTAAAAGAACATGCCACCACGCAGGCGCACTGCGACCCGCATGTGCAGGATGGGGTGGGGGCTTCCCCACTCCATCCGGGCCTCACTGAGTTTTCCCAGTCTGCCCTCTGATGGCAATTCTTAATGCCTCCAAGACCCAGATACCTCAAATCAAGCCCAGGCCCGAGATGCCTGATCTTTCTTCATCACCCCCACCCCTACAACCCAACTAGAAAAACAAAGATCAGGGCTCTGGACACATCCAGACAAAAAAGAGACAACCTCGAGAAACTTCCTCCTTGGAGGTACAAAATACACCACCCCAACCCAAAGCCTTCTGACTCCTTCTTCATGCTTAAATTCCTGAGAGGACTGATCCGAAGACCTACCAATTGAGTCTCAGAAACCAGGAAAGAATCCAGACACTAAGACAAGACCTTCACAGCTCTTCGCTGCATGAACATGGCTGATTAAAAAGCGCATAGTACTGGGCAGGTGCACGGTAAACCATGTGTGTAGAGTCAGGTGGGGGCTTCCCCACTGATTCATCCAGGCTAACTGAGGATTCCTAATCTGCCCTCTGTCAACTATTC